CTAATTAAATTAGATAAAGGAAATTAGAAAAGAAATAAAATGGGCCTGGTGGTATGCTAGCAAACAAGGGGGTGAGACTTGCAATTCTGGGCCCAAAAGCGCCTGGCCCTGTTGACTTTCCAGATCCCATGTTGCTATCTTGACTGGGGTGTATTGTGGATCCTCATGGAGAGACCTTGGATTTGGCTTGCTTGAGATCTGATGGCTGAAAGCTGATGACGTATGGTGGACTTTGTGGGACGCCTGTACATCTAATCATGTAATGCAAAATAATATGGAATAATATGGGGACCTGGGGATCGAACCCAGAACCTTTTGGCATTTTACCCTGCATGATGACCATCTGAGCTAGCTTGCTTATTTGTATGGTTAATGACAAAGAAATATAATATGGTAAAACAAAAAGCATAATCTTAAAACGCGTGCAGATTTGAATGGACCATCTATGGGGCGCCACGTTATCATCTTCCTCATCATCTCCGTCGTTTTAGATCCAGGACTTTTACCTACGGACAAAAGGGTGTAGGTACAACCCTGTACCTTTCCAAAATCCTGTACAAGCGTGATAAATGCAAAACGATGGCACCAATCAACTCGTGGCAACCTCACGAGCATCATGGTACCCTTATCCATGCCCAATTGTACTTGTACATAAAAACCCCAAAAACGAACCAAGAACCCTAACTATGGCATCTTGATGTATAGTCAGCAAAAAAATGAAATTAAACGCAACCAGTAGTTTTCAAATGACTCAAGGATTAAGAATATATCAATAAAACATGCTAACTATGCCAGAATCATGATATACGAATTCAAAAAAACATGGAAGTCGTGGGACTCTTACAGTGTGTTTTTGGATGTTATGAGGCTTGTTAGTGGTTGAATCTTGATCCCTGGATGTCCAGCGATCGATTGGTGTGCCTGGAACGGCTTGAGGAAGCCTGGAACTGGGAAATCAGTTTGCAGCTTTTCCTTGAAATTTTGAGATTTGTTCTCTTCTTTTCACGCCTTCAATCCTCTTTTTTTTTATCTGAACATCTTCCTTATGTACCCAAGAATGAATTAGGGTTTCAATTTGGTTTCAAATCTTCTCCAATAATGATCATTGATTCATGATTTGATTCTTAGTGCAAATCTTTCTAAATTGAGAAAATCCAATCTTTTTGTGTCCAAATGAAGCTTGCACGATTTGATTCCATCTCCAACTATATAATAGACCTAAACATGCATAAAATTTCAAGCTTTGATTAGTTTTTGATATTTTCATGATTTTATTTTGATTTTATTTTGATTTTATTTTGATTTTATTTGATTTAATTGAAATAAAATCAAAATAAATGACAAAAATAAAATAATGACAAATAGAAAGGATCATGGGTCGTGGGTCACATTACAAACTCAATGCAAGCATAAAAAGTTGGGCCCATTTGACAAAAATTGCAATTTTGGGCACATTTGACTTTTGGCAATTTTGCAAAAAGGGTCAACTTCACGAATGCATAACTCCTTCAATTTTGACCCTAGAGATATGTTCTTGGACTTTTTTGAAAGCTTAAGATGTCCTCTAAGCAAAACATTTGGTCTAATATAAATTGAGTCTTCCATGTTCATGTATGAAGTTTTGACAAAAAAAGGTGTTTTTGTTGACTTTTCAAAATGACCTATAATGTCCAAATTCATATCTTCTTGTGAGTGCATATTTTGAACTTGAGAGATGAAGATGAATTGTAGAGAATTGCATCATATTAAAAATGAGCTTTGGATGGGTCATTTTTTATAAAGTATGAGAAAGTTAGCTTGGTCAAAGTTGAGTTGACTTTTCCTGCAAAACCCTAATTTAGCAACTTTTGGGTTTTGATGAATTGTGAGCAATCCTTGAGGAATCATGATCAACCCTTGATCAAATGATGAATAATACTTAAAAATGAGGATGTTGACCAAAAATCTTGAAGTTAGACTATATGTGGGCCACAATTGACTTTTGCCCTAGCACAACCAATTTTTAGGCTTTTGAGCAATTGATTGAGCAAACTTCCTCTGCAAGGCTTGAAACTTGACATAGATGATCTTGAGAAGATATTAGGACAATGGTGAGCATTTGGGACCCTTTGGACTCAAATATTTTGATGCAAATTGAAACCCTAATTTAGGGTAGACTGCTTTAGGAGAGGGTTTGCCTGGTCAACTCTTGAACTTCCTTGAGCAATTTGAGGACCTTACTTGACATGTATTGAGAAATATGGGAGGGCAAATTTTGGGGTACAACACCATGTTTATCTTAAAAATTCTTATTTTCTTTAAGCAAGTGTTTGTAATCACCCATATAAGAGAAAACCTTAGAAAACATGAGAGGGAAAATTTTGGGGTACAACAGATCGAAAGGCAACCTGGGCCTCTTCTTGATATGGGCTTGCATTTTGCAAACTATACCCCCTCTATCTCTTTTGCTATCCTGGCCCATTTACTCTTTTGGTTTTGTTTTATTATTTATTTTCCTTTAATTGTTTTTTTTATTAAATCAGCAAGATAATTAAAAAAATCGCAAAAAAATAGGTTTAGCTTTTTTTCCAATTAAAATTATTTTTGTTAATTAATTAATGACTTTAACCTTTTTTATTTAATTTAAAATTAAATAGAATTAGACTAACTTATTTTCTTTTCATAATAAAAATACCAAAAAAATATGAATTTTTATTTCCTTTTAGTTTCATTTTAGATCACTTTTTTTATTAATCTTACTTAAACAATTTCCCAAAATAAAATAAAACACAAAAAAATATTTCCTTTCACTTAGGTTTTAGACGTCCTTTCAATTCGCGCGTGTTATTATCTTTCGCATTCCATTTTTCATACTATTGTAATTGCCTACTGGATGTAATAGCATAACTAAGACCTTACATTTACTGCTTTATTCCCCCCCCCCCCCCCCCCCCAAGTTTTGGATATGTAATTAATCCCCCTCCCCGAAGCCTTGTAATAGATAGATTTACATTTCCGCACTTTTAATTACTGGAAATTATTAACTGCCTAGATGTATGCTAATTAGGATTGTATGGCAAGAATAAAACAAAACGCTAGCAAACTTAACACAAGGCAAAAATAAATGAATACAACACACTCTCACATATACACCTCTAGGGTATCCCACTTTGGTTGCCTTCGGAAAACAATCATAACTCTCGAAACATGAGAGATTTTAGTGGCTACCCTCCGGTTTAAAGATCATAAGTCCCTCGATGACCCTCTCAACATTGCCTCGGTATGATCTTAAAAACCCTAGGGTAGTTACTAAAGTTTCTTGCCCAGTTGCCTTTGTGACTGTATGAACGTCCCTTCGAATGTACCTCAAACATCCAATGACTAGGGCTACCTACTCACTAATAGTAGGATAGCAATGTCTAAAGGAAAAGAGGACAAGAACAACCTTTCGAGTAAAGTATATAATTGTTACATGCTTGCTCAAACAATTCTTACACTTACACAACACTTCTTTCAAAATAATTTTCAAACACTTTGTATACGTTCTCTACTAATCCGAGAAACATTACAAAGTTCTCCGTACTAAGGCGCTTTCAAAAGTACATTTTCAAACACACAAGCACAAGGTATTTTCAAATGAGCTAGAATCTAAGAGCCCGTAGATAACTACGGATGGAAAGCGTGCTAACACCTTCCCTTTCCATAATCTACCCCCTTACTCAGAAAACTCCCGAAAGGTCTTTTTCTGTTATTTTAACCCTTTCCTTTGTTGGATAAAAGAAAAGTCGATGGCGAATCTTTATTACCGCAACATTTGTGAATACAAACTCAAAACCAGTATAATAGTCAGTTCTTCCACCGTATCACAATGGCTATTTAAAGCGAAGGCTTGGGCAGCAAATCGAGGACATGTGTCACACAACATAACGTGTGTGTGCCAAGAAGTGGGAAAGTTATTGGGAGTTTTTTAAAATACCACACCCTAAAAACTAGGAATCATCATGAGATATGATGGAGGGACATTGGGAACTGTTGTGCAGAAAGTGGTCATGATTACGTGTGATGTCATTCTAAGAAGACATGTTTTCGAAAATGCCACTAGATGAAAATGCCAAAGTTTTCCATCGACAGGGGTCTCCATCGAACTTGACATTTTGGGGCCAACATGGTCTAGACAATGAAGTTTTCACTTGGAGAAGAATGGCTCGAAGGGCCTATTGAACAATATGGCGAGGCTATCGACAAGCATGCCTAAATGGCGCCAAAAGAAGTTATGAGTTTTCACACTAGCAAGAACGTGGGGGAAGTTATGAAGCTTTTCCACATGAAATTCCAATGTGGGATATTGTAACCGTTGATGGTTACGTCTCTAAATTTTTTTAATTAAGCAAATAATTGTATTTGTTCTAGAGGGGGCATTTCTTAGCATTAAGAGCATTACACTCAAAGTACCCGCATCTAAGAGAGAAATGAGTTCATGCTTAAAAATGTACGAGTGCTTCCACATTTCAATTCAAAGCAATTTCCATTTTTTTTTACTTTAAACCTCTTGTCTTGTTTTTTACTCTTTATTTCAGCAATCGCCTTGTTCTTTTGACCTTTTTTATGTGTGTCAGACCAATCAACCAGTTTCACACAAAACTCAAAACACTAAGTCTAGGATTCCTGTAGCCTACCCTGTAAGTAACATTTAATAAGAGGCTAGATATTGTTCGCGAGAAACATGATCATATGAAAGTTAACCAAGGCATTGTCTTTAAAGGGAAGGTTGTTGGTCAGTCAAGAGGTCCTCACAACACTAAACAATAATAGTGGTTAAGAAGAAAAGGCCAAATAAATATGGAAATTATGGAATAGTTGACGTTCCTTCTCATATCTCAAGAGTTTTGATCAACCAAAAACATGATATTATAGTTGATGTTGATGTTCAGCTGAGTTATTTGAACCCTTGGCAGGAGATATTTGTTATCCATAATATTTCATATTGTAATAAGACTAATCTAGATACTGGTGAAATTGTGATGGATGTCCCTATCCCAGATTGGCCTATGAGAAATTATTATCTCAGTCAAAAGGATGTCATTGAGGAGACCCAAGAATTCACGCTGGGAAGTCAAGATGATGATAAATATGTGTCATACATATCCTCAAAAATGTTAACAGGGTCTCAAATGCATAAGGAGAATGATGATCATATCCATGAAGATGTTGAGGATGATCATGTCATACCCAATGGTGGTGTTGATAACAACCATGATCATGCAATAGTAAATGAGGTGACATTGTGTGAAGTTATGTTATATGTTGAAGAAGATGAAATGTTGCGTAATTCTATTGCACGCTTGGAAGCTATAAGATTTACACCAAGAATTCCATGTATTTTGAAGTCCAAACTTTATTTCTTGAATGTAAAGAGTGCCTCTCTTTATAGCTACTTGAATATGGAAGTTGAAGACCCCTTTTGTGCCAACATACTGAAGAGGGTCATGGATAAATTAACCATGTATCATGTGATAAATATTGTGAATGACAACATTGATGATGTTGTTAATCATTATGACAATGTTGGTGATGGGTCTATCTCTTTAAACAAAGGAGTTCATGATATGTCTGATCCTGTCAATGAAAGTGTTAATAAAAAGGCTAGTCTCTATAAAAATACGCTGAAGAGGAAGTATTTAAAGTGGATTTCCACTAAAAGTAAGCCTTCAAAAGAAGCTCTAACATTTGAGAAGAGTGTTTAACTACTGGAGGATATCATTATTTCTTGTTATGTTGAAGGGATATCAGACTCGATGGTGGAGCATCTTTTCCAACGATTGAAGTTTTAGTTGGAGATGAGTTATGAAAGGGTATTCAATTATGTTCTTGGTCTTCAAGAAAAGCAAATGGAAGACAATAATGTTCTATCTCAATGGGTATGTGCAAGGTTTCAAGAAAATCCTAAGCCCAGTCATCTTGCTCAAGTAAAGTGAATATTGAGGCATGTCAATGGGATATGTGACTATGGTATACTTTGATCACATGCCACCAACTCAATATTAGTTGAATATTATGATGGTTATTATACTGGAAGTGTGGATGATCAACATAGCTCATCCAATGGATGCCTCATTCTTGGAAACAACCTAATATCTTGGTTCAACAAGAAGCATAATTATGTCTCATTATCGACAACTGAGATGGACTATATTTCTGAAGCATGCATTTGTACTCAATTGCAACGGAAAAATCAAATGTTGAAAGCGTATAATATGGGACAAGATGTCGTAACATTGGTATGTAACAAGATGAGAGAAAATTTTACTTCAAAGCTCATTAGGAAAGTATTGGTTAACAAGATTGTCACTAAGAAACAATTGAGAGACATATTCACGAATGCCTTGGATACAAGTCAACTTGAAAAACTAAGGGGTGAATTTGGTAATTGCATATGGGAAGGCATATGCCAGTGAAAGCTGGGAAGGTGTGCAGACATAGAAAGTTAACATCTCTCCTTTTTGGTCAATGTTACACATGTAACAAAGATAAATTTCATTGTTTAAAAACGTATTGTTAAATGGTCCAACGTTATTAGCAAGAATTATGTTCCTTCTCTTATCTCTCAAAGAACAAATATGTTCATCATGATTCAAAATTTTGAACATCCAAAGAAGAGTTCTTCCTTCACGGGAATTAGTATCTGGAAGGACATTGAGATATTTATAAAGGAGGATAAAACTAAGATAAAGAGGGTTGGTTTTACTTCCTCTACGCAAGAGGGATCATCAGTAGGAACATATGTGACAGTAATGTTAGACTACAACGACTTATCTAAAGGGGAGGGGGGGAGGTGAATAGATCCCCAATTAAAAATCACCTTTCAAAAATGGTTATTTTAAAACTTATTTGAAAAACAATATTGAACGGAAGGTTTTTGTCCTAGATCAAAATAGTAGTCTAAACGAACCTAAGTATTGGAAATTTGGATATGCACTAGCCGTGTGGAATTAAGATAATGATAAAACCAATCACATAATAATATCTTAATTAATGGTTTAACATCAAACACAATAATTTCCTGTTTCTAATGAAATTAATAAAAAATATGAAACATTGAAATTTGTCAAACACTTGGTGTGCGTTCGACTTTTCATAATTTTTCCTTTGAGTTGTTTTGATATGAACCCCACTTATAATCAAAGTGATTATAAGATAATTGTTGTACCCCAAAACTTTCCCTCTATATTTTAACCCTAATTGGCTTATACTTCATTATCATATGCATACATACATGTCATAGGGTCTATATTCATGGAATCAAGGGTTTATCTCTGTGAAAAGAACTACGAAAAACAATTGTTCCGTTAAGCAGCACTATGAAGCAAAAATTCGGGATTTTCATATTTTTAATGCACGCAAAATGCGTTCCAAGATATTCGATTAAAAAACAATCAAGTCATCATCATGTCAAGATATCATGCATTCCAACATGTTTTGAATTTTGCAGAAAGTCAAGCGTTTCAGTTGATTTGAGACAGTGCAGACAAAAATTCGGTATTGCGCATTTCAAGCTTAGAAATTCATAACTTGAGATCCGAAAATGGTTTGGGTATGATTCTTCAGTCATTAGAACCGTCTTAAGATATTCTTCAGTTCATCTGTTCCGATCGAGGGCTAATTTTGTGAGGAAGATTTTCTAAAGCGCCAAATACCTGAAATGCGTTATAAAGTGGATTTACCGTTTCACCGATTTTAGGATGCTTAAAAATTCGTAACTTATGACTAGAAGATCATCTTTGATTGGTTCTTGGAGCATTTGAATCATCTTGTTATCTCCCTCAATTTTTGTCTTTACCTCAAAAGCCAATTCATCGAGGAGGATCTCCGAATGTGCGAATACTTTGAAGATATACAATGAAAATACAGTGAAAATAGTGTGTTGAACTGTTGTTTATCGGATGTTCAAAAATTCATAACTTTCGCCCGGTTCGAAGTTTTTTTATGGTTCTTTAGGATAAAAATTAGTCTTGATTTTATCTTCGATTCGTATGTTCGGATCAGAAGTTAATTCTTTGCAGAAGATTTACTAAAGTGAGAATTACCAGAGAAAATTGCACTCCGAAATGGTTTTCTACCGTAGCGTTTCTCGATATTGAAAAACTAGTAACTTTCTCAATTTTTACAGTATCGAGACAATTCTTGAAGCATGAGACCATAAATTTTATCAACTTCAACTTTGCTTCAGGGTCCGAGTTCAGACTGTGCTTCTAAGGCTCCGGTTTATGGCTCGCTTCCTAAAGTGCGCATGGAAATAAGCTGAAATTGTCGAGACGGCAAAATAAGTCCCTTGTTTCTCGCCATTAAAAAATCATAACTTACTCGGTTTTTATCTTATCGAGGTGACTTTTTGTGTACGACGTCACAAATTTTGTCGCCGACGTGTTTGCTTCAAGGTTCGCATCAAGATTTTGCACCGAAAGACATGAGCTTGTGGTTTGTTCGTGCGTCGTACACAAAATAAGCTGAAAAATATGCATTGTGAATTTTTACACTGAATTTCTCTCCGTTCAGGGCACCGTGACTTTCTGAATTTTTATCGTAACGTGACGATTCTTATGGCGCCGCGTCACAAATTTCGTCATTAACATCTTTGTTTCAAGTTGCACATCAGAATTTCGCATCGATTGTGATGAGCTTGGGGTTCGATCTCGTACTGTGCACGAGATAAGTCGAAAATTCAAGTTTGGAGCCAAGACTATATATTTTAAAATTCAAATTTAAAACACAACTACACTCATTTTTCCAATCTCTCAAAATCAAACTCATATTTTCTCTCAATTCTCTCAACTTTCTTCAAGAACACTCAAAGCAAGAATCAACAAAAACTTCATTCTTCTTTTCTCTCTTTGCGCGAAAACCTCCGACCTCCCTCCCTAGCTCCACGCACCGCCTCCTTCTCCACTGGCCAGAATCGCCGGTCTGCCCTTGACCACCACAAGCTCGACACGATTCTGTTCTGTTTCCGGTTACCTCTGTTGTGTTTTTCTCCTTTTGGCGTTCTCTCTCCATCGTGCTACTTTTCTGACATACTCCCTCTCTTCGCTTGATTTTTCTGGATAGCACCTCTTCTCCTTGTTTCAAGCTCCGATTCGGTAATTCTTCACACTAATTCTTGAATCTTGTTGCATTTAATTGCTTACTTGCATAATTGATTTTTATAATTGTGTTGATTTAAACTTATATAATTATTTCATGAATTGATTTTTGGATTGTTGAGTTAAACTTGATTCTTGAATTTCAATATTGAAGTGTAGAATTGGTTGAATAAGGACTTAATCAATTTAGATCTTGAATTTGATCGGTAAATTGATGTTTATTTTTGAATACTGAAATTTAGATCTAAATGTTGATTATTGAGTTTTGATGAGATTTAATTGTGTTTTCATGAGTTAATACAATTATCAAATCGATTTGTTGATGAATTCAATTTTTCAACATAAAAAACCTCAAATCCGATAAATTGAATTAACACTTGAATTGTGTTGTTTGTGCCTTGGAATCGTTCCTTGAATGCGAATTTATTTGTTTGCAAGCATTTGTAATTTCTAAGCAACATAACTTGATTCGGTAAAGGCTTTTTGTGCCTCTGTTTGTGATTTTCAAATCCGATTTTTATCAATACCGATTCATGCACGTGTTGTTGCCCGGAAAATACAAACGCGTTCTAAATGGCTTTTCAAAAGTTGTGTGATGCTTATTCATGCATTTTTGTGCGTCTATGGACCGTTGAAATTGAGTTTAATCGTTTCTGACACAATTTTTCGGTTGAGTTTGTAACACAGCGCAATGTTGTCCGGTTTCGGTAAGTTGAGTATAAGGCACTATTTAATTGATGGTTAATGCTCAAGCGACTTTGTTTTGGTACTTGGATGGCATTCATGTGAAGTTTTGTTGATTTCGGATCGATATTTCGTACGGTTCATGTATTGACGGCAATGTTTCCCGGGAATGGTAAGTGGTGCTTGCATGGTGATTTAATTCACGTTTGGCACTTATTTGAGCTTGTTGGTACGTTTGATGGTTACCAGTACCCTTTTGGGTTGATTTTATTCCAACTTTTCTCACACTTGCATGTGTTAATAAGTTGCTACCCCGGTTTTTGATATTGATGTTCCAATGCTTGTTTGAATTGCTTTTCTTCACATTTTAGTCTTGATTTAACTTATGATGTGGATCCTTAATTCCCATTTTGTTTCCTTGTTATTTCTAACATGTTTGTTGACTTGTGCAAGGGATTTCAAGAGCGCGTTCAATCGTTTAATTGATGCTTTGATTATTCAATTGAAATGCATGCTATTCCATTTCTTTGTGGATCCGAATTCACTTCCCACGCGATTGATTATATTTCTCGTGCTATGAGATATATACACTGCTTATGTTTTTGTCTGGATGTGAGTTTTTGTGCAGGTGTTCTGTTTGTTATGCAGATGTGCCTGACACACATTCTCCTTGTGCTTTATTGATACTTCGATGCATATTCTTACTATTGTGTTGTTGATGGTAGCTTGTACGAAGTTTTTCGGATTTCTTTGCTTTTGCTTACTTGCTATAAACTCTTGTTTGTTTGGTATTATACTGATTCTTGTTTATATTTCCGTATCATTTACCGCTTTCCTTTCCATGAGAAGTAGGAATAGAGACACATGATTAGGAGTCCCTACTTTTTAGATGGGTAATCTGTTTAAAGTCCTAAAAGGAGACG